TAATTTTTGTTTATTGTTCAGGAGTTGTCAAAATGCATTCTGAATAACACGTCTCGATTTTTTTTTGTTGGGGAATTTATTACATTACGTTGCTCAATCAACCCTCGGATGTCTAAAAATTCTTGTCTCATATTATTTTTTGTAAAATATTCCAGAAGTGAACAAATGAACATAAAGTTCATATGAAATTGAGAATAAAACACCCATTAATGAAGTCAGGACTGTTCCACATATAATTTTTCAAGCTGTTGTACAAAATTTCTTCTCACGTGTGGAAAACTGCATTACTGGAGTCTCAGCCATTTATGGCATGCCATTTAAGTAAAAGTTAAAAAGACTCGTACCATAAACTTCGTTTAATTTTTTTAATTTAATTTTTATGAGTAAAATGACACAAACCATACATTTTAGCAAACCCGATATTTTTATGTTCAAAATATGTCCACGTCATAACCTCCATTCTTTGGATGATTTTAAACCAGTTGTCGATAACGAACCGAAGGTTTTAAACCCCTGATTCGAGATGTTGTAGCTTGAAAAAATATATCACATTTATCCAATTACCTCTGATGATGTTTGACAGAGATGGGTGTAACATTGGTTAACGATTTAACTAATTAAAAGTATATATTCACTGAACTAATATGCACAACTGTCAAACAGTAGCAGAAAACCTGGAAGATGCTGCCACAGGAACCCCAAAATACTAGACGTATGTTTTGAAAATTCGAGTGTGTTTCATTCCGAATATTGTTTAAAAAAGGTATCTCCCGCTTTACTTATTTTTCTCTGATTTAAAATAATGTGAAACAGTTGAATAAATTTAAAATAACTGAAACTATTCGTTTCACAAAATAATCTATTAATTTTTTGTTCGAAATACAATTTTAGATAACAAGTAATCATCATAAGTTATTGGCGTGACAATGTTAAATACTTTTTGGAGCTTTATAGATTTTTACATATTTTCACCAGCTGTTAGCTTAATTTAAACAAAAAGTAGAAAGTAACTCGAGAATGGCCCATTGTTGCATTGTTCACAATACAGAGTTTTTCTTAGGTCAACTGAAGAATTAAATACACTTGTCTATTTTCCAAAATGTTCAGCATCTTCGAAATTCCGGGATTCTCAGGGATAGTGTCTTCTAAAATCTCCGCCACTGATTTGTATACTAATACAGTGAATTTTTGCAGTTGATCAGTTAAATGGTTAGCCCAAGTTTTATCAATTTATAATCAAGCATTCTGAATTCAAACATTTGAATAAATGTACAATTTTTATTTTACCTTCAACCTTTGTTTGTTAATAGACGAACGGTCCACCCCTAAAAAGATGTTTAGAAAATCAAGATCACCGACCACGAGGAAAGGCCAGGATGAAACCTTTTGTAATCGATGCATTGAGTTATTGCTAACAAAAAACCTAAGTAACATCTTTGTGTCCGAGTGGCAGGTAATTTGTTATTAACAAAAAGTTGCAAAATAAAATTATTGCAAAAAAAAGCTCTGCAAACAATTTTCTGAGGTAAATTGGGTAAAAATAAACACTTTTTGTCTCTTAACATTTTTTCATAGAACGCTTCCTTTTCGAGCTAGGGGCGATTTAAGGTCGAAAAATGGCTAAAAGTTGCCAACTTTAAAAATTCATATCTCAGCTCCTACCAAAGCTTTCGGAACGTTCAAAAGCGCAAAATGATCCTCGAGACTTATACTTTAATGTAGTATTTTTTTTAAACCAGCCCCTTTTTTTTAACCCGTAAAATTTGCAGCTGAATTTCGGCCGCTAGTGCCCACGCGCCACCCCTACCTATCGCTATATATAGATATAGCGCTGTCGTGCATATAATCGAATAAACGCTATTCATTCATTACTTGTTACAATTTTTACTATTTAGTATTTCTAACACTCATACATATTTTCAAATTCATCAAATATTGTATATCATATAATTATTTATAAGATTTAATAATATGAATATGATATTTAAATGAAAAATAAATTAATTAAACATGCATATATCAAAGGTATTTATTAATACAAAAAAATATATTTACATTTAAATATAAACTTAACTACTTATTTAATAAAAAATCAATTTTCAGTCTCCGAATAAGTATCATCAGTTTGTATTTCTGCATTTTGACATTTTATAGAGCAATTGCAAAGATCGCAAAATTTGAAGCCTTGTGATAAGCAAGAACAAATGTCTTCATCGCTGCAGAGTAACTTTCCACTGCAGGAACATATGAATTTTTGTAACATTTCCATGGCTGTATCTCCTTCCAAATAATTGTAGCACAATACATTATTTTTTAATATCCAGCCATATTGTGTTAGGTCGAAGGATGTTATGCTTGCAGATCTTGCTTGAGACCATTAATTGATTTGCCATTTAACACGCATAACATGTTGTAACAATACAGGTTCTGCCGGAGGTATTGATGATGGTATTGGTATCATGATGATTCGATATTTACTATACTATCATGTACATACTAGCTATTGGGAATAATAAATATTGTATTAAATAACGAATAGCACAAGAATATTTTTCGAAAACTTACCTGCAGTTTTATACAACATTGAATATTCACATACGTTGCATGATTGTTTACAGACTAATAAAGGATTGTTGCACTATGACAGCACAAATGAATATTGTAGAAAATGTATTATTTATTTTTTATACATTATTTGTCAAATGTTCACTGTTATTGCCTGATGCCAGACAATAAACTAATGATCCATGCGACACCCGATCGCTGCAGTCTAATCCATTGCGCTTGTTTAAACAAGTTATAACAAGTAATTCGCATAAGCGCACGTTCGCGAAAACTCGGTTAGTTAATATTTTGGTTGACTATCTATGCGTATCCTTTTATAACATTTTATATTCTAGTTCTAAATAATTTTTTGATATAAATATAGTTATATATAGTTATTATTATTGAAGCTACATTAATGAAGATACAGTTATAAATATAAATCAATATATTTGTAACGTAATACATATTATTTTCCATTTAAATATGATATTCATATTATTAATCTTATAAATAATTATATGATATACAATATTTGATGAATTTGAAAATATGTATGAGTGTTAGAAATACTAAATAGTAAAAATTGTAACAAGTAATGAATTAATAGCGTTTATTCGGTTATATGCACGACAGCACTATATCTATATATAGCGATACGTAGGGGTGGCGCGTGGGCACTAGAGTCCGAAATTCAACTGCAAATTTAATGGTTAAAAAAAAGGGACTGGTTTAAAAAAAATACTACATTGAAGTATAAGTCTCGAGGATCATTTTGCGCTTTTGAACGTTCCGAAAGCTTTGGTAGGAGCTGAGATATGAATTTTTAAAGTTGGCAACTTTTAGCCATTTTTCGACTTTAAATAGCCCCTAGCTCGAAAAGGAAGCGTTCTACGAAAAAATGTCAAGAGACAAAAAGTGTTTATTTTTGCCCAGTTTACCTTAGAAAGTTGTTTGCAGAGCGTTTTTTTGCAATATTTTTATTATGCAACTTTTTTGTTAATAACAAATTACCTGCCACTCGGACACAAAGACGTTACTTAGGTTTTTTGTTCGCAATAACTCAATGCATCGATTACAAAAGGTTTCATCCTGGCCTTTCCTCGTGGTCGGTGACCTTGATTTTCTAAGCATCTTTTTAGGGGTGGACCGTTCGTCTATAAGGCTCTTTGGTTTAAAATAGTCCAAGGATCAACCTCATGACATTGGACATTGTAATATAAATATAATAGAAATAATAATGTAAGCCTATTCTAAGGAACGAAATATTGATCGTTGACATTGGCTCGTATGAATAAAAATGGAGGACTGACTCAAAGTATGTGCTAGGTAGTAGAATTTACTTCGAAGTATGTATCTTCTTAACTTCCGGGAACCAAATGCTCTACGTTCAAACATCAATCGGCTTATGGTACAAAAATATGTGGTATTGGTCAGACGCCAATAACACTCTTCCATCTAGATGGGTTTGCAAACTTCCATGACAGTTGACAATGATTGAACAGTGTTCGGAATGGCACTTCTCAATTTAGATTTTTTAAGCTTTTGAAAAACATATCACTCTCGTCGTATAGACATGCATATTAAGTCATCTGGCTGCTATTTATATTTGCTGTGTCGAGTGGTTCACGGCGTCCTGGTGCCCGGTTTGAAGTTACTGGCCCTTCGCCTTTCGGCCCTTGATCGTTATGGATAAACGTAGATAATACAACGGTTGTGGTACAATTCTGGCCCTGAATTCGGATTCAGCACATCAAAATACACGCATATATGGTCCTGCAGTCATTTTCAGTCGGTTTTACAATTATACCTAATGCTGATCCCTCCCAAACCGTGATTTTTCGTACATTCTGTATTTAGGGTGGGTTTTTCGCGATTTAAAAAAAATGGAGGGTGATGGAGCTCTTCTGGCCCCGGATACAAAGGTCTAGTTTTTGGAACTTTTAATTTTTTTGTGCCTATGTAATTGGATAAATCTCCTTTAGGTTTTGCAAAATTCAGTGAAGGAAAATTCCCAAGAAATCCCAAATGCCATATAACCTTAAGTATTCGTATTTTGTTAAGTCCAAACTTAAAAATATTTTCATTATAGTGAGCTTAAGGCTCTTCTGATTATCACCTGATCATCAAAATAGTAAGATGTAGTACTTCATACTAAGTATCTGATTTTTCTTACAGGCATTTCCATAAAAACACACAATTCGCAATAATTAATAGACAGTCATATCGCTTGTATATTTGCAGTCGACTAGAGTCTGCTCGAGAACTACCTCCAAAGTGTTGAAGTGTTCACTTCGGTGAAAGCTGAATGCTTGGTTTTATTCATATGAATGGGACATTTACTTCCCGAAAGTAGCAAATGATGCTTTTCCTCGAAGTTTTATCTTTTACGGGGTATAAAGATTTGCTTCAATTTTTATTCATACGAAGCTAAGACATTGTTTTTCGTATAGTCAATGAATTATCTCGTTTTTATTCATTCGAATGATTTAGCTCCAGCGTGCCAGGATGGCGATATAAGTTGTAAGGACGGTAGCTGTGTCCCAGGAAAACGATGCGATCACATTTTCGACTGTCTGGATAATTCCGACGAACAGGGTTGTGAAGGTTTCTGTTCTCTATCGGAATTTCAATGTGACGACGGAGCATGTATAGACGACCGGTTACGTTGCGATAAGCTTAGAGACTGTCGCGATGGTTCCGATGAAAAGGAGTGCGGTATGTTGGCTGCACTGCTTCAGCCGCTGTTTGAGTTTCCCGCTTCATCTCCTGTTGAAATCTTTTAGACCTCTAGTTTGTCTATATGTTGGAATTGCTTAAGAAGGTGTTATTATTATTTCGAAAGGTTTTGCATTAGTGAAAATTATTTCCCACTAGATCACGCCAGTTTTATGGAGAATTACTCTAATAGAACAGTGGAATAAACTATAAATTACACAGGTTCTTTGATTTGCTGGTTACGGTTAGAGCTAAAACGAAATAAGAATGCTTAATTACGTATACTATAATAACTTTAAACTTCAGTCACAACTCAGTGTACACAAAAGTAATCTACAAAATAACTAATTTAACAACACAAACAAAATGTAATAGAATATATTACGTATATGCTACGTATACACTATGTTGAAAAGCAAAAAGTCATTAGTACCTATATAAGCAATCGGGTTCTATTCGTAGTCTGTTCATAAAATCATCGAACTTTTTTTTAATTTTATTATTAATTTTATACATTATTGGTCCTTCTCTCCTTTAGAGTATTCCCTCCCCTATTCACACACTTTTCCCAACGGTATTTCTCTTTCGCGAAGCAGTCCAGGAAAGCTTCACTTGAAATGGCCTTTAAAGTCTGTGACGAATATGCTTTGATGCCATCAATAGTCTGCAAACGGCGTCCTTTCAGGACTGATTTTAATTTCGGATATAAGAGAACTGCCTTCGCTGAAACTCGATGCATGTTCAATTTTTCAGTCGAAATATCAGTTGAGATGCTTACCTCTTCTGCAATTTCTCTGACAGTCAACTGGCGATTTGCACGCACCAGATCTTTAACTTTCTGAATGTGGGAGTCGTCAGTTGTAGGTCTTCCCTGTTGAGGATCATCTTCAATTGACTGATGACCAATTTCAAATCGTGAAAACCATTCGTAACATTGCGTACGACCCAGACGATCATCTCCGTGAGCTTGTTTCAAAACTTGAAATGTTTCCGTGAAAGTTTTTTCCAGTTTCACGCAAAATCTTAAGTTGTATCGTTGTACATTTCAAAAATCGTCACCAACACTTAAACATATTGCACTCAAATAATAATATCACGAAAACTAAATCAACAATCCAATGTGGTTACAGATAAGATTATGCGCAACGCAGTGCTGCCAACCGTATATCACTAAATATCTCCATTAGCATGTAATTCAAAGAGTTCGGTTATTTTCAGAACAGACTCCGTATAAATTTATGATTTTTCAATTCATTTATGATGATTTTCAATAAATCAACACAACTCGAGTAGAAAAAATTAATTTTAAAGAAAAACGATACAGATCTGAATTATATTACCAATTGAAAGACTTCAAATCTAATGGTAATATTGAATGCAAACGACTATATCAAAAACTTAAAAATCTGTGACTGATTTCATGTTTAAAAAGAAATTTGCAAGTATTAAAATTTAAAACAATCCTTAGGGCAATCAAATCATCTCCGAAAGCCCAACACAAAGTTCGTAGTAATACATATTTTTTTTTAAATCATAATTTTAAACCACTACATCAAATAGCGGAATAATTAATATAATACATAATAAATATAGGTACATTATAAGGATGTTTTTGAAAGTACGATTTTAATTTTAACAGCTGCGTATTTATATCAAAATGAAATAGTATTCATGATCCAAAAGTTGTCCCATGTAGTTGAACTCATCTTCCATGGTCTTCTTGTAAGCTTCCATCATCTCGAACTCGATAAATGAGATAAGCAATTCTTCGGGATCTGGGATATAGCCATGTTAAGAACATAATTTGACATAAAAATCTCCACAAGTTTGTCGTTTGGTATTTCTGATTAATGTACCATTTTGGCAAACATGTTTATAGATAGCTACTCACTAAAAAAATTAAAAAGTTTGTTAAGGCACAACGTAGCCAATAAGTTTACATTAACAACTAAATCATAAATTAGAACAAAAGCTTTTAATCAAATTAGAGCGGTGATTGTTAGATTTAGAATTATTTATATCCATGGGAAATAAAAAACATGTTATTTAGTCCAAGCATTATAGAGAAATGCTTACAGAAATTATTATCTGGACAAAAAAAATATGACCGTATAGAAAATTAAACTTTAAATCGAGTTTCTTGTTCTTTAAACTCGATCCAATATGGCGAACATGGTTAAAAAAAATCGCAAAGTTGAAAAAAACGGTTTTTCTAAAATAACTAAAAAAATATAGCACGGATTGAAAAATTTTAAATGAGAAAGTTGTAGGTTTTAAAAAGATCTATCGACTGATTTTTTGAAAGTATCGATTGCTTTGTTACTTTTCGAGATATATCGAAAAAACCGTTAAAAATCTTCTCTTTTCTCTTCTTCTATAACTCGTTTACATTTACGTGCCCATATTTGCTATTTACTGCAAGCATAGCCCGCGGCAAGCCAAAAAAGTACATTTTTGAAAAATTTAAAAATATTAATTATTTTTCGAGATATATCGATTTTTTGAAAAAAAGGCGCTCTCGAAAATTGGCTAGATCTTCTCAGCGGATAGCCCTACAGTAACGATTTTCGGTTTATTTTCTTCGTAAAGAGTTATATTATCATGCTGTTAAAAAATGTTGACGATTTTATTAATTTTAAGGATCAAAAAATGACTTTGAATAAGTTGCACTTTTTTGGGTATGTTTTTTTCAAATTACTATTTCAATTTTTATTTTATGAAAATGACTTTTAAAGAAAGAAAACTAAACATTTACGGGTCTATTTTGCTTCTAAGGCGAAAATGCTATAATATTCGTGTTTAGCTACCCCAGATTAAGTACAAAAAAATAATAAAAATTGAAATAGTTATTTGAAAAAAACATACCCAAAAAAAGTGCAACTTTTTCAGTCATTTTTTGATCCTTAAAATTAATAAAATCGTCAACATTTTTTAACAGCATGATAATATAACTCTTTACGAAGAAAATAAACCGAAAATCGTTACTGTAGGGCTATCCGCTGAGAAGATCTAGCCAATTTTCGAGAGCGCCTTTTTTTCAAAAAATCGATATATCTCGAAAAATAATTAATATTTTTAAATTTTTCAAAAATGTACTTTTTTGGCTTGCCGCGGGCTATGCTTGCAGTAAATAGCAAATATGGGCACGTAAATGTAAACGAGTTATAGAAGAAGAGAAAAGAGAAGATTTTTAACGGTTTTTTCGATATATCTCGAAAAGTAACAAAGCAATCGATACTTTCAAAAAATCAGTCGATAGATCTTTTTAAAACCTACAACTTTCTCATTTAAAATTTTTCAATCCGTGCTATATTTTTTTAGTTATTTTAGAAAAACCGATTTTTTCAACTTTGCGATTTTTTTTAACCATATTCGCCATATTGGATCGAGTTTAAAGAACAAGAAACTCAATTTAAAATTTAATTTTCTATACGGTCATATTTTTTTTGTCCAGGTAATAATTTCTGCAAATTTAACATTAATCCGTGAGAGAATGCTTGGACTAATTTGCATGTTTTTTTACAGAAACCTCATTAACTTGTGTTTACAAAACTATTACATCATTTTTTGTTAAGCATATTATTTTGGCATTACCTATAATCGTTCAAAATTAAAATCCCACTTTCGAAAGCACCCTATAAGTGTAAGGTTTTATATACAGGGTCGGAAAGTCCCCATGGTTCATAGGCCGTTACGTGAGAGCGATAAAGTAAGTCATAGAAATCCGTGTGATAGAGAAAGATGGCTATAATGAAGGCGCCTAATAGTCACCGCCCATTTCGCCCTTCCACAAATAAGAAGTGGATCTTATTTGTGGAAGGGCGAAATGGGCGGTGACTATTAGACGCCTTCATTATAGCCATCTTTTTCTATCGCACGGATTTCTGTGACTTTCTTTATCGCTCTCACGTAACGGCCGATGAACCATGGGGACTTTGCGACCCTGTATATTAATTAACATTAATACAGCGGTTAATTTTTTATGGAAGTCCGAACTAAATTTTAAATCTAAAAACCAAAAACTTCTAAAAACCAATATTACTTCTTAATAGTGTATTATTATTTTTAATCTATCCATAGCAATTATTACGCTGTTAATGCTATTGAAAGTATATAAGGTGTCTCAATACTAATCTGTCAAATTAAAAAAGGTGAATTTAATTGTAAGAAAAATTTTCTATAAACAGATTCAGAAATGTTTATTAAAAAAGGTATATTGAATATAAAGAGAATATGAAAATTCTGCTCTTATTTTTAAAAGACAAAATTGGCGTTTGTTTAAACCTAAAATGTAAAATATATTGTAATTTTAATTTTGGTCGTTTGTCCGACACTATAATTTATCAACAAATTTTGTTAATATTTAGACGGTAACGCATTTAACTACTTAACAAAATTTTAAAATTCAGTAATTCTTAAAAAATCCATAGCGTAAGTGATGTGAAAAAACGTAGCCACCTTTTCGCACGCCATTGTTGTATGAAACAAAATGTTAGCAGATGCTTTTTATTGCAATTTTCACCTTTGCAAACTATACCAAATTTAATATAATGATCTTTTTTGAGATGCTATTAAAACTCTGTGTTAAAATTTGCACCTTTTAAATTCACAGAACACCATTTCCAGCTTGGCAGATCAAAACTGGAGCACCCTATATATTTTCAGCAATCACTAACAGAACTTAAATGACTTTATCATACGACTAAGTTACCTACCTAGCAAGCAAATTCCAACATAAAGATATACTGAGCATAATAACAATACCTAACAAATAACAATATAATAATTGTGAAGATTTCCAGCTTTTTAACATTCAATAGAATAGAATTAATTTATTAAAAAGTAATAATACTTGCGGTACTAGTGAAAATATGATTTTCTAATATTGTACATGGAGAAAACGGTATTCTGTTCTCAATGATGTACTTTTTTGGCAATGCTACACTTTTATCCCTATATAGCAACATAGTTATTATAATTATACAGTTGACTCTAGAATA